CACGCGCTCAGCATCCTCTGCAATGGAAGTCAACGGGATATCAACAGCCTGTTGTTCGTAACCCTTGGCATTGAGTAGAAGGATGACGTCGGCCCAATGTGCGGCGTTGGCTCAAAAGCCGTGAACCAGGATGATGCGGCGTTGGCTCAAAAGCCGTGAACGAGGATGATTGTTGGCTTGCTCATTATGTAGGAGTTAAAGATTGATGAAGTTTGTCTTGGCAAAAGAAATTGGAATAAAGGTAATGCGGATGGCGGACAGTCGTTCGTTGGGTTGCATATCTACTGCCTTTATATTGAGCTCAAGAAGAGCAAGGATATGTATGAATAGGTACATTTTCCTCTAACTCCGTACGACGCATCAGCGATCAACAGTTGTCGTGAGAATGACGCGAAGCAAGTCCAAACTACTGAAACTGGTCTGCCTCAGGATCAAGCAGTTGACCGGCTTTCACACTCTTATGAACTTTGAAGTCCGACAGGCAGTTCAGTTAACGGATCAGATTGCGGCATTTACACAGTGTTTTTTGTCATGCCGTTGAACTTATTGGCAGGCAAAATTATGCATTATTCTTAGACAAGCCCAGGGCGTTTCCTATTTCCTCTCGTTGCAGTTCAGCATTGCCCTTCTGAGCTCCGATGTCCTGATGTCCCGATGTCCCGATGTCCCGATATCATGTGCCCCGTCCTCGTGTGCCGCGACTATGACGTCATAGGCGGCCATGACTCTGAGGCCACGGGTAAATCCCGAGACATCACTAGTCCAGTGACGCCCCATCCTATTGGTACAAGTGGGCCTGTCACACAGCGCGGTCGTCTTTGCAGGTTGGACAAAAATGAGAGACTCTTGATTTCCTGGTTAAAGAGCGGGATAATACCAGGACGTATTATTTGTTGTGGTACTTCTGGCAGGCAGCAGTCTGTTAATGGGCTGTTGCCTTGAATGGGCGACTCGACCTTGACACCTGCTCTAGTTTGGAAGGGTGAAGTTTGGGTGGGCCCTTGCAGAGGGCAAGAAACAAAGATGCATGGTGGCGAGTGGATTTGTCGTGGTGGCCCGTGAAGTTTGTTATGGTGGCTAGAGTCTAGCTCCGCGCGCAGATATTGGCTGTATCTTGCATAAGTGTCAGACAGTGGCATGTGGCGCTTCGTCACAGAACAAAAGTCAATTCAGTACTTAGATGAGGAACCTATTCATTGTTAGAGGGTAAAATAAACTAATATAATAAATAACTGAAGTAACTTCGTAACATGGACTTCCTTGGTGTCATAACAGTCCCACTGTATTTCCGACCATAAATTGTCGGTAGCATCTTGTTTTCGGACAAGGGTTATTTAACCAGCAAACTTGATGTAATTGCTGGATGTCATAAAATAATGGATAACGGAAGTTTCAAAGGCTGGTCAGCCGTCTTTTACAGCTAAGACAATTGACAAGAAGCCCTCTGAAGCATATAATAATACATTTGTGAAAAAGCTT